GACTCCTATGCATGGTGTAGCAGTGCAAGCCATGCATTTAAAAGAGAGTTAAATTTGTTACCAAGTTTTGTGGCTCATTTAACAAAAATATACTTGTATAAAGTGTATTTGAAAAAAGTTCAGCAAAAAAAATTAATACTGTCAAACTATATTAAGACTGTTAACTGAATTTATTAAGGTCATAATTACAAATATGATTTACACCACTAAAATGTGTAGTTTATAATAGTGATACAAATTACATGTAAGCCTGCACATTAAGAATAGTCATACTTTATGACAACACTGCCATTTTGCCTAAATCATAATTTATACATTATAGCGCCAGTAAGGAACTTCATTGTTTCATTCATTGTTAGCACTATACTTTATTTTATGTAGACTATGGAACGCAGTCAACCCTTTCAGATTAGAGTAAAATTATAATCATTTGATACTCATTATACCATAGGGCACCTTTTTAGAGCTATAAATTTTGCAGATTTTGTGATTTTTAAAAGATTCACGAAAATTACTTCCACAAAAGTCAAATTAATACGGTACCAGATGGGAGACAGCATAAATTTGTGAAAATTAAATCCGCAAAATAATAATCCACGGAATTTCTAGCCCTCAAAAAAGGTGCCCTACAGTATACATTTTACATGTAGAGTTAATAATTTATATTCTTTATGTCATTTTATAGTCAATGTCCTCACCATGGCTGGAAAGGCAATGGATGACATCACAACCAGAAAGGCAACATTTTTCAGTGCCCTCATCAATGCCAATGCCAATGTCAATGTCCACATCGCGACCAGAAAGGCTGCGTTGCTATAAAGCACGTTCAGTAAGTAACATTATATTAATTTGAAATGGATGCACACACAGATAAGGTGTTGTGTAGTACCATAGCCTGAGTGACAGCGAACCTGTATTGAATGCATAATAGCTATTTAAGTTTTTTGTACTTTTATACAAAACTGCCAATTTAACTAAGCCATCATACTGATGCCACTTTAGGATTTAATCAAGTTACTAGAAAGACAGAATTACACACAGTCACATCTGTAGGAAATTTTGTTATTAAAATTATATTTTTTATGTTAACAGAGTCAGAAAAATGGCATGTAAATTAGTTTTTAAGTTATTAGTCACTTGACTCACTTGATTTGCTAAGTAATAAAAATGCATTTTGCTTAACAAGTGTTTTCATGTCATTTTCATTGTCAATGTTCTCATCATTGCCAGAAAGTGATGAGATGTTAACAAGATATGATGATGATACAATTGTAAATATGATGATGATACAATGGTAAATCAGCTAGTAACCACAGTAAGTAAATAAAATACATGTACACATAATAGAAGGTATGGCAGCCATGTATCAACTTCATCAATAACTTCATTATTGATTTGCTAAGATATGTAATTTTGTATGTAATTTCCAGTGGCATAAAATTAGCAGATGTTGGGTTGTCAGTAATTCACTCTTTTGTCATTATATAGTCAATGTCTTCATCAGCACTGCCACAAAGGAAACTAAAGTCATCAAGTGACTATGATGATGAGGTGTCTTCTGAGCTAGTAAGTAAATAATTTGTATCTACACACAATAGAATGTACCATATAAGCTGGTGATAGCAAATCTTCGTCGAAAGCACAATCACTATAAGTTTTTATGACTTTTACAATACTGATCCCATTTTATCTAAACCATAGCCTTTATATTATAAATAATTTTAAATGCAGACCAAAGAAAGTACATACAGGCCTGACAAGAGTACTACTGCAGTAAGATTAATCATTATTATTCTTATATTACATGTATGTACTTTGAACAGGGACAGGGAGAAGTAAAATGATAATATAACTTAATTGTCAATGGCAATAGAAATGCGGAAATAGCTTATTTAATATTTTTGTTATTTTAGGTATTGTTTTTTATTTAATTTTAGATGTATTATAACAATAATAATTGTTCGTGTATATATACACAAAGTAAACTAATTACGATACATTAATATCAACAGTATCATTTGTTTCATTAGTGTTAGTAGATGCATGTAGTGAGGGTACTGTGTTACTTTTCATTCCATCATCTTCCTCTGATTTTCTGCCACAAAAAATCATCACATACCAAATCCTTATTAATATCTTCCTTAGTTCAGGCCTGAAGTATGCTTGTATCAGTGAAATTGTAATAGTATTCAAGATACAGTACCAATGCTGTAGCATACACTGGACTAGGAACATTATCATATCCAACAATGAATCCTATTATACTGGCAGTAATGTATGGAGACAGTGATACCAAGTGTGCTATAAGTAA